AAAAATGCACATGGAATCTCCCTTTACTTAGCTCCTGAGGCCAATGAAAGCTTGGGGCTTCTCTTGAGCTGAAGATCTGAGGCTGCAAAGCAAAAGGATTGCTGAGAACAATTACAAAGAACCTGAGAAAGGAAGCTGAATACAATCTATGAAAGGAACATGAATACTACAATCAATTACAAGAAGGAATTCTCACAGGAATCCAGATTTGTTTTGGTGATAGTTTATTATAGAGGACCTCCTGTTTGTTTGAGAGGGGGGGGGGGGAGCCCCTATTTACTAATCAGGCGCCAACATTAATGCACATGCTTCCTGTAAATACTATGTCATGTTGTGTATGTGTGTGTTTGCTCTCGTGTTTGCCCTAAGGACTGGGAACGATATGGGATTGATGATCTTCAAGCACAAGCTTTTGAAATATCAAATCAACGTATCAGGCCAAGATCTGTTCCGTCTAATTAGTCATCACAGTCCTCCCACGTTAAAGCTGGCCGTGTTAAAATTCCAGGTGCTCATTACGGCTCATGAGTTTCTCCAAGCAAGCAGCTCATCAGCATGAATGGCAAAGCATCTGCAGGGATTTCGCAAATCTTTGGGACAAGATCGCGGGCCATCGTCAGTTGTCCTTCTCTCCTTTGCCCTGTGCACAGCTCATCATAATCCTCAAATGTCGCTTCACAAACGGTCAGTATGAGCAAGATTGAGTAACATAACATCGGAACAACAACAAACATTGGCGCTATTGGCATTGTCGCATTGGCATTGCCGACTGGTAATAGTCTGGTGCGTTGCAGAAAGAAAGCACCTTCACTGAAACGAAACTACCGTAGGATTTTGCATCATTTTGCACGGTGAGCTTTGAATCCTCTTTTTCAGCTGTGAGCCTGTGAGCTTTTTGGGGAGGCGGGGCAGTCAGCCTACAGTCTGCTACCCAGTCTCAGCTACATCAGAGACCAAGTCATAAAGCAGCCAGTGGCCTGCATAGGCAATACCCCAGAAGGCCGAAAGAATCACGGCGAGAAGCGCTGAACCTTCCGAAACGAAGAGGAAGAGGAACATGTAGCATCCATAGGCAATATTGTATACCACAAAGGTTCGATATTTCCCAAATCGATCGGCTGCGCATTTCCATGCAAAGGTCAAAGGAACTCTCACCACCATGTGTACCACAACACAGGCTGCAAATAGCATTCCAGGAGAGCCCAAAAGATCCGTTGCTGCAGTCTTTCCAACCACCCAGTCTATCACGTAGGGCAATACAATCAAAGGAAGGTTTGCTCCGAAGCCCTCACGTGAGGACCGACGATACTATCATGGTCTCACACCAAAGCGACAAACTGACAAACTTGTAGCATATGCATGCACTTCTTCAAGATCTACTGTACATACAAAGGAAAACACTTGCAAAACGGTTGCCAGAGTTGCTTCCACAATGTCCGACACCAGCAGGATCATGAAGGGATAGTTGCTGAAGCACCCAACAATTCCCGGAACCAGTGCTTCCGCTTGTCCTGGAATGTTCGTACTTGGCCGCTCCTTCACATCCCAGCACAAGAACAGGGTGGAAAGTGTAAATATCGCGCCAAAGGCAAGGGCAATCAGGAGATAGGAATAACAGCCCGTGCTCGGGCTTGAAGCACATTCGGACTCCCCAATGATTGGCACGACCATGCCCATCAAAATGCCCAAGCAAACAAACAATTCCCGCCAGGACCAAAGGGAGGTCCGTTCTTGGCCATTCTGAGTCAGGTCCACCAGCAAAGCACCATGTGGAATTTCAAAAATGGCATCTGCAAAGACCTTCACTGTAATATGAAATATCCCGTACCAAACCGCAGATGCCACTGAGTTGAACACTGGAGCATTGGCTGCGTTGCTTCCGTTCACTGCGAACCAGTTTTCGGCATCTTGTTGGGCTTGTGCTGAGAAACTCGCAGGCGGCGAGAAAGCCATCGCATATGAGAATGTCACAATAAAGCTGGAGACAAACAGGAAGGGCCGCCGGCGACCCCAGTCATGTCCAAAGATCTTGCGAGTGCTATCTGTCATGATGGCCACCAACGGGTCGATGATCAAGTCCAAAAGAGTGCTTAAGATCAAAAAGGTTGACATCACGCTGAGAGAAGCCCGAGGATAGTCATCTGTGTAGAACCTCGGGTGTCACAAAGAACCCAAATCCCCCACATGACTGACCATAGACACGTTGCAGTCACATTGCGGTAGTTGTACATAAATATACATAAATGTTTATCACGCAATCTTTAATTATAGTCTATTTGCCTAAACTGATGCTGTATGTCTTACAGTAATCACTTTCAAAATCTAGACAACTGAGAACTTGCTTGCGGGCAAATCAGAGAAATGAACAATGCAATGCATTATTCCAGCCAAGTTGCTTTTTCATGTATCCAGTTTTGGCATATCGCAAGGCGAAGAATCCAAAGATTGGAAAGGTAGACACGAACTTGCTGCGGCAGCTGACTCTTCCGTCTGGCGCTGCCATAGGATGCGACTCCTTGAAGCTGACCACATCGGCATTCTCCTGCGGAATGCATGGGGCTGGTGTCTGGAATTCGACCAGGCGTTTCAACACCTTGGCTTAAAATAGGATGAACAGAATAGCTACCAAGTCCGAGAATTCTCAAGTGCGACCTCTTGCATGTCATGATTGGTGATTGGCCAGATTTTCTGCACATGTCCAGGGTATCGGAGCGCATGCACTATGCCACTACAGAAAAGAATTGAAAGTGTACAGTGAGGTCTTCCGCTGCCAACCTTCTCGTCACGTTGATGCCTCAAAAGTCGGAACACTCAGTGATTAAGAATAGAGGAATGAAGCATGGTTTCCTACACCAGGAAATCTCACCAGAATGTTCTTATTAGCACTGGAGCTTTCAAACCACAATCAGCCTGCTTTGACTAGAGCAGCTTTAACTTCTGCTAAGCTTCATCTTTGCCCAGCTTCGCCAGTTCCGCCACGTCACCCTAACCCTGCACAAAAGACGGGCTTGAGCCGTGGAGGCTGCAGCCTGGCACTTAGAGTTCTGAAAGCTGCAAGTGGTTGTGCCGTGCATGCATACGCTGTTTACATCTGTGGCCTGGACAGCCGATTTAGTTAATCTATTTGCATCTTGCAGCTTGAAAGGGTGGAAAAGTTCACTCAAAGGTCATCATCACATGCTGAGCACCATGCCAGTTGCAGCATGGCGAAGCAAACAATGAAGAGAGCATAGCCACGTGCACATTCAAAGTGTGATGAAATCTCCTGTCTAACCGGAGAGATCTGGCAGGAGAGACAACTTGACTTGAGGCTGTCGACTCACTGTCAGCTTCCAAGCTTGAGATGAACCCCAAGAATGCTGCTTCACACTCGTCCGCCTCTGGCATCCACATCTCACACAAAACCTGACAAGACTGTACTGTATAGAGAGAGAGGGATGCGCACATAGAATGTAGAACAAAATGGACAGTCTAAATTCGCATCGGCAAACGCATTTCAAGGGCAACCAAGGCACCCGAACTCCAGAGAAAGCAAGGACTGCTGTGAAAATTGAAAGGGTGGTGCTAATGATGGTCCATGCATACAACCGGATGTCGTCATCTCGCCAGTTCCTGGGCAAACTCTCGAGCGTTTAAACAAAGAACGGCATTCTCCCAGGCAGATGAGTCAAATACTGGTTGCATTTACCAAATACTGTAATATTCTACTATCTGTCAAGAACTGGCGGAAGGTTGTGAACTGGGCCCAGTGGAAGCTTGCAAAGCTGCGTCATGCCATGTGCAGCCAAGCTGCACGACATAAAAAAGAAGCATCACAAATGCAACCGAGCCCAGAAGCATGCCTGAGCACTGTAGTTGACACCACAAAAATACAGTCGATTGCATCTCTCTCTGTCTCTCATGATCTTCGAGTGGGGAGGGCAATAACGTCCATACAGTACCGCTGAGCTTCAACAGAGGACCATCCCTGTGGAAGCTATAGAGTTAGAGTATGTGATTGACTTACTGTAGGCCAAAATTGCCCATGATAGTGACAGTCCACGTTCCAAAGAGCAGCAAGAAATAAAAAATGAAAGGGCATCCATGATTGACTGGGTGCATGTTGCTCAGCTGTTTGCTACCTTGGCTACACTAAATTAGCAAATCCACCTGGCTTAAAGCTGACTCTGCAACCACGAGGCATGCAATGCCCACATCTCGTTGCGGAGGTTTTCCCTCCTGGGCAGCGCTTGCTGCTTGTTCTGGCTATGGCCCACCCATCCACCCTCACTGATGAAAGTTAAAGGAAGATTAGATTGAAACCTGTGGGTCTTGCTTGTGACACACACACACACACACCTCCTTTGGCCAAGCTCAATGCTCAATCTAATTTTGACAATTGCAAAACGCTCCTAGCTCGTTTTTGATGAGACGCCTTCTCCGTGTGCAAGAAGTGCGAAGCAATTGCACCAATGACGTCCTGCAAACCCTCCTTTTCAGCTCCGGCATGCGATGTAGAATGTTGCCACGGAAAGCATGGTCAAGATATATAGAACATTATAAAACCATTGATGCAAAAATGGATGCATAATGATCGGTAATATGCATAATGATGCGTTATTATGCGTTTTCATAGGGTGCCGGCAGGGAACTACGGCCGACTACGGCTGGCTACGGCCGACTATGGCTGGCACAATGCGTATGTTTTCTTCATACAAAACTAAGACGTAAGAAGGTAGAAGGATCGCGTGGAGTCCAGGTCTCATCTCATCCAAAGGTCATTTTGTGGCGAAACTGCTCGTCCCACCGCAGGTCTTTTCCACCGGCAGTCCCGAACGGGATGGTCATCTCCTGCAAGGCAACACGACTGACTTGGGATCTTGACTGTTAGTGTAGAACTTTAACTCTCAAGACATCAAGAGGACCGGACTTACTTGGGAAAGGATAACAACGTCTATCAACCCATGCAAGGCACCACTGAAAGAATAGACTTCACACCCTCTTGCTTAGCCTTACTACTAAACAGTCAGTTTCTGGAAACAAACCCCAACTCATAGACTAAGCACTGTAAACCAGTCAATGTAGCTGATTGTCCTCCATGCTGCTGAGCCAGGACCTCAGGCACCTGGAGCGGCGACTTATATACAGTATTTCTTTGCGATCCGTATGTGGGTGTCTTGACCTACAAATATCGCTTCAAGGATTGGAGGGATGTGATCAATCAAAGAAGCCTTCTCATAAGCAGCTTGTTTGTTGATCTTCGTTGTGACGTGATGTCACTACTCTCAAGGTGGGTTTCGAAGAGAAGCAATGATCATCGGATGGAGATCTGCCTGCACCACGATCCAGGCGCACAGGAGCCACCTGAATGAAGCGCCACGAGAACGTCGATCCAGGCAGAACTTGGAGAGTCGCACAGAGGTGGTTGAAATCCTGTTCCAAGAACTGCTTCGGTGACGCAGCTGTGACCTCCAGGAACCCAGAGGACTACCCAGTGATTTCACGTGCCTGTTATCCGCTGCCCAGTGTTATTAGCGTGCCTTCGGATGATGGGGCTGGTTGGAGCGTTCCTTCGCGTTGGGGTGCTGGGAACTTGACTTGCCAAATTCAGCAGGCCTCCAAAGTTGCGAAGCTGCTGACATTGCGCAGCTGAAGGGTAATGTCTGTAAAAAGGACTTCTCAACCCATCTAGGCCTAATTGGTCTCTCTGGCCCAGAATACGCCAACAAAAAAGCCCTGACAAGTACAACATAGGAGAATGCAATTAGGTGTCGCAAAACCTGCATGAGCTGCATTGGAGCTCCCTGTGTTGCAATGAGTGTTGTATCTATATAATATATATATATATATATGTGTGTGTGTGTGTGCGTGATGGATGTATAGTTCCTTTCGCCCAAAATGTGATGAATAGTCATGAAAAATAGAACACCTGGTGGTACTGCACCACAGGAAACAATTGTTGTCCTTGTCATTGTGACCAAAGGTGCTACAAGGCTGCTCCAAGAATTCGTACGACAAGCAAGCATGATCAGCGTTTTTTTGTTATCATCTTTTCTTAGTCTCCTTGTGCTTCGCATCATTGGACAGAATCTGGAGAAGCCATACAACAAAGTCCGTTGATCGGTGGTGTCAACTTGATGACCCTCTCACACATGCCCATCGTTCTCTCTCTCTCTCTCTCTGTCTCTCTTTCTACAGCTATCAGCAGCTATCACCCCTTGTTCCTGTCACGCACTCTTTTCCTTCTTGCAGAAGGAAACCGGACGGAGTACGCAAAAGAGGGCCTTTAGTCCAGACTGAGAGTACCGTGCTTGATTGGACATCATCTTTTGCAAGAATTGACCTAGGGGGCACCCAACTGATACAGTAAATACTTCTGGTGAAGGGCAACTTGTACTGCACCCACTCACGCACCAATCAAACCCAAAATGAACAATGGTTATGCAAACATGTTTGGTGACGGTGCATGGAAACAAATCCTGACAAGTCTCTACGGGAAAGCAGCTTGGGATACAGCTAGGCAGCTAAACACTCGCAACCCTTCACAGCTAATGCTGTCTGCCATCCAAAACGTCTGTCAATTGCTCTGGACATCTCTGGACTTGTTCATTTGGCACTTGATGGCCATCGACCCGACCGTAGCGCAAAAAGAAATTCAAATCACAGATGTCCTGCACCAAATGTGCAGGCTCCGCGGTGGGGACAGTGAGTGTCAAACAGTCAAGCCACTAGGCCTTAAAAAGGCTGGAGTACATGCATCAAATTGGATTGGCATCAAATTGGATTGTCGCTCACTGCCAATCTAAACTCAGCAGCTTCAGGGAGGTCAGTGACGTGGGTGCAAAAGCTGCAACTCAACCATCAATGCCTGGAAACGCTGAGCGAACTTAAACACGTCCTGCGACTTACAGTGGGGCAAAATATATGAATCCCCACTATAACTATACTGTCTGGTGCTTGCAATTAAGTAATGTAAGTTTCAGCTTCTGTGTCTGCGATGGGGTTAAGGGAAACTCCCACCTCTTGTTTTGGTGTGATCTTGCAAAGCTCACCTATGCCATGTCCTACATGAATCTAAATAAATGCCTGCCATCTATGTCTCCCAGGCACAGTCGTGCTGCTTCATCTTGTTGAAGTCAAAGTCATAGAGAGTGCAGGCATCTGTTGCCGATGCATCCTTGGCAGCAGCAAATTAGACCCCTGCAATTCAAGCATCTGCAAGTTACAACAGTGCAAGGCTACTCTCGTTCTGGGCCTCAGGCTTTCATCGTCACCAATCCTCAGAAAGGGCCAAGCAAACTGGCTCTTTTCACAGACTTCCAGCGCGCTTCAAATAACTCTATATATGCTCTGCATGCAGCTGCTTTTCTGTTCACAAATTGATCCACAGTCGACCGATCTGGGAAGACGATGTCACCCAACCTGCAGATTGCATCGCACGTGCTTCTCAAGAATCCAACATGTCTGCAATCACACCAATGTCCATACCCGTCGCGTGGGAGGGCACTGTGATTTTACAGCAATCTGGGCACACTGCTTCATGCTTTTACCTACAAGTAACATGAATGAGGGAATTGTTATTGACATCCAAAAAAAATGTCACTGCATTTAGAAAGCTGTGCTCCAGAACACTTGATTTCTGGGCAAGAAGCAAGCGATTCTTGTGCTGCAAAATCTGTTTCAGGTCTGCAGTAGTGTTCCGAGCATGGCCAGAAGGATACATCACCTGCAGCAAGTCTTGCGAATTAGAGGCTACACCCAACCACATAGAACTTATATAAATGATTTTAACTTAACTAGTAGTTTAGTTGGTAGGTGCAGAACCTTCAACGGGGAAGTATATATATTATATATATACCACATATCTCTCTCCATCCCCCTCTCCATGAGATTAGCCAGAGGCAAAGGCGAGCCATGAAGAGTTTTTGAAGGCGTAAAGTACACTTCTAAACCTCGCCCCCAAAAAGGCAAGGTCGTGCGCCTGAGCAGTTGAAAACAGCCGACTCCAGTTTCGCTCTGCAGGCCCGGAGGCTTGCGGATAGATAGATAGACAGAAAGATAAGATAAGATAAGATAAGCAGATAAATATATATAGATATATAGATAGATAGATAGATAAATAGATACCCAACTTCAATTTACCCCAAGGGGTCAAGGCCCCACAATGAGTGATGCGCAACCTAGCCACATTCTTGAGTCCCAAATATTCATCATACCTTTCTTACAAAATGCGTTTGTTGATAATGATAGAACTCTTACACAATGAGTGATGCCAGCCCACCATGATCTCAAGAGTGTGATTTCCTTACAAAAGACCAGCTGCATAAACAACGGGCTTCTTACAAAAAAATGTTAAGTTACCTTGCTGCAAAATGCCTAGGTCCTAGGTGCTTGACATTTATTCCTTACAGAGTGACCCCCGAAAACCCAGTTATAAGAGCCTTAAGAAAACCCATTTCATAGTGGAAATGGTAGTCTGGCTATATATATATATACAGTAGTTATTATATAGTCAAAACTTAGCACAACAAAACACGGAGATCCTTACAACCATCCAAGCAACGGCACCATATGACCAGGAATACGGAAGATAGTTCAGGATAAGGGCACTCCCACGGGATGTTAGATCCTCTCTTCCTGTTATTAGAACAAAACATGGTCCCATGGTGGCATGCCAAGGAGCCATGCCGCTGTTGATGACCTCATTCCACACAAGTGGGGTCACGCCGAAACCATTGTCTAAACAAATTCTGCTGTCCCTGGCTATCTCCAGGAGCTCTGCAACAACATGGTGTGAAATTGTATCGCCCTACCGTTCATCGCCAGAGTAGCCTTGCCGCTCTTCAGGGTGATGTCAATGGCAGTGGGAATGCCATCAGGATATTTGGCATCATACTCAGGTCCCCCATGGGAGAACCTAAGTTGCTGCTTCAGTGGCATGCAGGAGTCCAAAACAGTTGCTTTGCACCATGGGTCGCTGCTCGCCAGCTTGCTCTACAACCGAGATCAAGCACTATTCTCTTTAATCACTCCAGCCTAATCTGAGCTCAGTCAAGCAGCGTGATCTTATCCATCAGCGATCGGGTATCCTTCTCACAAAGGGCATCCTTGCCATAGTCGTACGGCGACAACCTAAGCCAGGCTACTCACTCAAGCGTACCTCATCGATAGATTGCGAAGCATGACACATCTCAATCGCCATCAAATCCAAGGAGCATCAGCTCCATCCACGCCTCATCCATGGTTCCTGGCACCTGTACAGGTAAGAAGCTCGCGGATTGTAAGGATCTCAACATCGCAAAAGAAATGTGTACATGTGTGTAGATATATGATATATGATATCCGTGTAATTATGAAAGGTTCATGGGGTGGATGACCCAATGTCCTCTTCACGCGTGAACCACCACGATGCTCCGCCGTAGACTGTTCTATATACATGCAGTCTGGGTGTCTGTGTATGTATGTGTATAATATAAGTGTACAGTCCCCGCTGATATTCAGGTGAAAAGGCTGGGACCCCTATTTAGTAGACTTCGCTACTAGTTGGTTGGACGCCATCCTTATATTAGGTTGGAGGCCATCACAAGTAGGTCGGAGGCGATCGCTATCAGGTTGGAGGCCATCGCAAGTATATAATTAGGTTGAAGGCCATCGCCATTTCTCTACTAGTTGACCTCCACCAACGTCCAACTCTACAAAATGTCTACAAAATGACCCCTAAAAGTTTGTGAGCCATTTATTTGGTAGAGAGGCCGCTGGAGAATTAGAAAAATTGGAGGAGTCCAAGGCCACTGTGAACTACAAAATGGTGTGTGCACATATGAGGTGCTCATTTAGTATGAATCCTCTGGATGTACGCATTTCCAAGCACTCGCAAGTCATTACTGATTATCTATATCTTCCTGATCATCCATTATGATTCTCTACTAAATGCAGGACAAGGAGTCCATACACTGGACATGAATCTCCCTTTTACTACAAAGTGGTTACACCCATGCCCGTTTCCCACAAACATAATGTATGGTCCCCAACCTAGGGGTTGGGCACAAGCACCCTCCACAAGCACCTCCCTACGGGGTTGGTAGGGGGTTAACCCCCGGCATTCTGTAGGCTTAATATCGTCGAGAATCGTGTATGAATGCGTATGTGTTTTTGAATATATACATATATGATCATATATGTGTGTGTGGTGCTACATGTTTTAGAGCCCGGCAAATGGTGCAAATGACCAAGGCAATGGTGTTCCACTGTCGCTGGGCCTTGCCAGTCTTCAAAGCTTTCTGCAGAATTCGTGAGACGATGAAGGCCATGGAGTGATCTGCGGACCTTATGAGTGCATGCAGAACGCAAAGCGGTTGGTCTTCTGCCAGCTGCCCAAAGAAGAAAGAAAGTATCACTGTCATCTCCTTCGTCTTTCTTGGTGAAGTATCACTAACCACAAGCCGTTAACCCTAAGCACTCAATGTAGCTCTTGCTGTGGCTCAAAGAGCCGCTCTGTGTCGACTGTGTTTGAGCTTCTCTGGGTTTCTGGCTGTCTGGTCTTTGGGTCCTTCTTTGCTGGATCACCAATGATTCCGAAGGCAGGCTCGTAGGCAATGATGTTGATACCAGCAATGCCATCCACTCCTCCTCGCTTGGGAGCTGCAACCCCATGATTGAACACAAAGGACTGAAGCTGGTCGAAAAGGGCCTGACACCAGCTCTGGGTTGTTCACCAAGGCAGTGATGAGCCCTTCCAGCGCGCCAGCTGATTGATGCTCGTACAGGCCGAGCTTAAAGTGCATGCCCATGACCTCATCTGCACAGAACATCAAACGGGGCGTAGAACACACGGATCACACGGCATTTGTTGAGGTATACCACGGAAGCATACGGAAGCCTTGTCTGAGCCGCAAAGCCCGTCTTTGAATCACTTTGCGTTCTTATAGTCTAAACATGTCTAGACATGTCTAAGCATGCCTAAACTGTAAACTCAAGGAAGGCTAGAAACACGGGCAAACATGAATCGAATCATTGTATCAGCTCGGATGGGCTCATCGGGCTGGTGGTTTTGGTTTTCCACAAGTTCCCTCCCAGCCCCACTGAATGATGGCCAGAAGCCGCAAAGTCATCGCCACTGTGAGACAGGATGAGGTTGAAAGGGCTCGGTCCAGGACCCCACCGAACCTTGTTGCCTGCGCATCACACAATGAAGTGGGTAGATACAAACCATTTCAAGACCCAGCCTAGGGTGATGTCGATGTTGTCCTTGCTCTTTCCTGGTCTTTTCAAATCCAAGCATGGCAGCTTCAATTCAGCCAATTCGTTGTCACGTTTCAAGAAACACGATTCACGATCCTGTTCCCGTCGTTGGCTCAAAGAAGCGGAAGATCGCCTGAGAAATCGACCAACCGAAGTCAAAGAACACAAGTCGACGAACCGTCCAGGCCTCAGGGTTTCGGAAAATGTCCTTCGGACCCACGAAGCCCCGCATGGCCTGACACCGCAGAATATGGAGAAATGCCTCTTTCTTGGCCATTCTGATTCTAATTCATCATGCGCTAAAGCAACGTAGGCAACTAACTAATGCGCCATAACAATACGATGATATAACACGCCTCATCGTCCCAAATGAATGGAAATTACATGCACAACTTATCTCAAAATCAAATGATCTCCATCTCTGTCTTTCCCGCCCTCAGAAACGTCCATCCTCACGGACGTCTCGCGGACGTCTCTGAGCTCTGGACCCGTCGCACGGAGAGCACGGCCGCCTCGGTGGAGATGGCCGCAGAGGCGCCCTTCGAGTCGCTGAGCTGTTTGCCTTGTTCGGCGAACGACATGGATGTAGCGATGCCAATTGTTCCTAGTAGCTTCTTAGTAGTAGGGCCAGGGGCCTATAGTAGCTTCTTGCTCCTAGTAGTAGGGCCAGGAGCCCCTAGCAGCTTCTTGCTTGTAGTAGCGAGGCCAGGAGCCCCTAGTAGCGTTCTTGCTCGTAGTAGCGAGGCCAGGAGCCCCTAGTAGCTTCTTGCTCCTAGTAGTAGGGCCAGGAGCCCCTAGTAGCGTCCTTGCTCGTAGTAGCAAGGCCAGGAGCCCCTAGTAGCTTCTTGCTCCTAGTAGCAGGGCCAGGAGCCTATAGTAGCTTCTTGCTCGTAGTAGCAAGGCCAGGAGCCCCTAGTAGCTTCTTGCTCCTAGCAGTAGGGCCAGGAGCCTATAGTAGCTTCTTGCTCATGGTAGTAGGGCCAGGAGCCCCTAGTAGCTTCTTGCT